TACCAACTCACCCCCATCTATTCTTCTCTGTCCCTATAGTCGAACATGGCGCATATCGAGGCAAACTTACAAACGAGACGTCCCCAAAAACCCTAATGGGAGTATAGTGGACCCCTTAGTCCCCTATGATCCGAGCAATACGAACGGGGAGACCACAAACACAACCACTATTAGTGGTAGTGCATGCTCTGCGTAGAGGTGACGACCTCCTTTGAAGAATTGCAAAATCAGCCAGGCACTTCTTCTTTAACGGAGACGTCCGGGCAAATTCCGGAATCCCACCTCTCAATTTATACCAGCTCAGTCTTGATGCCATCTGAGCTGCCATCTTCTAGAAGGCATCCTTTTTCTTTTTAAGCGGATGTTGGGGCGTCTGTCCAAAGTCTGCAACAACCCTCAATCTAAACTACCAGGTCGGTCAGGCCTAGGACTCACATTCATATTGTTGAGCCAGCCGACCTGCCCCCTCGCAGCGCTCCTCCTTCTAGAAATCAAGAGGACATTGGAGGAAGGAAAGATAAGGAAAAAAAGCCCTTGGTGCCTGAAGGCACCATTATTACCGAAGGCGGCCAGGGCTCCAAGGGAGGGAGCTCGGCCGAAGCTATTAAATTGGACACAGTGTTGTCCTCCGAATTTAAGGCGGCTCCCCAAGCTGCCAAGGGTGAGGCTGAGAACCCGGACGCCGATCAGGCGGTCGAGGAGCCCAATGCCGATAATTTTAAGGACTCGTACGCCTGTACGGTGGGCGACACTGCCTTAACCTTCCTACACTTGAAGTTTGAGGAATTTAAGAAGTTCCTCCACTTGGGAGAAGGCTAAGAAATCGTAGCGCCTACTCACTCTTACTCAGCGGTCGCTTAAGAGAGCAAGAGGCAGCGGAAGAAGTGCTTCAATGTCTACCGCACTGCCTTAGTGGTGGATCTTCGCTTTCCCCTGCTTCCATTCGTCTAGGAGCTCCTGGACGAGTATAATATTATAATCTTTTAGTTGGTGCCAAACAGCTAGGTAAACATTTTTAGCTATCTGGTGACGTGCCTTTGGCAAGGCTTCAAGCCGGACGTCCTAGTTTTTTATGATATGCATTCAATGGTCCGCTTAGATGCTGAGACGGACGACTGGTTTATTCAAAGCACCTAGAAAGATTATTTTGTTGTGATGAATAGGTCGTCCAAGTGGTAAGACTGGAAGCACCGATTCTACCGCATCAAGACAAGTGACGAAGAGTTTAACTTGCAGATGAATCGGTTCAATGCCGATCCAATTTAACTCGGTCGCGGGTAGCACCGAACCTCAAAGCCACCCGTCCATCCTGACAACTACTTTCAACTGGACTTTCAGGGTTAAAAAGGTTGTCAAGGATGGAAAGACGGTTTTTGTGCCGTCTAGTTGCATACTTCTTGCTAGGACTGGCAATCCCTGACCCGACCCGATAACACGACCCAAACCCGACCCGAAGTTATTGAGAGAAACTCGAACCTGACCCGAACGGAACCGGAACAGCCTGAATTCAACCTGATTTGACTCAAGTTTCATATTTTGTAATTATATTAAGTTTTACGCGATTATTTTTACAGTTTCTAAGCATAACCCGAAATCGACTCGAAATTTGACCCGAACCCGACCTGTTGACCTGAATTGCACCCCTACCTTTGGCCGCGTGGCTAAGGAACCTGATATTCATGTTGGCATATGGCCTGTACCAAAAATACCCTCAAGGTGGAACCTTGTGACTTAGTCGTTCGAATGTTATTTATAACATGAAAATATTCTAACAATTGCTATTCTTTTTCTTTCCTCAGACGTAGCTCTTGGAATGCTGGATCCTAAGCAGAAAGGGGAGGTCGACATGTACGAGCTGGACATAATACGGTATAAATTCCACCAAGTGACCTGACTAAGGAGGTACTGACAATCTGCGCTTTTTTTTTTGTGTCGAGCTAATGTGTTAGAGGGAGAATTCTTCCTCACTTCACTCGGACGCAATTTGTCTTGCTTTCATGCCGAGTTGATGTGTTAGGAAGAATATCCTATCTGATTTCACTCGGACGCCATCTTTTACCTATGTTTGCCGAGTTGGTTGGTTGGGAAGAAGTTTCTTCTCAACTTTGCTCGGATACTTGTTTCATTTTATCTAACTATCTCGTTTCTTTCAAGCGGCCACTCCTACTCCTCGGTTGAAGAGAAAGCAGCCGACTTCTGCTTCTAAGGACGACCAGTCGTCCAAAGCCAGGAAGACAACAGCTACAAAGGCTAAGCCTTCCACCAAGGCGGACAAGGTCATGCCGTAGACTGCTCCAAAGCAGTCTGAAGGAGAGTCACCCCAGTTGTCACCTAGCGGGGTCTCCAAACCCGTGGATCTGCAAACTAAGGCGGTCCACGATGAGTCCGTCTATGCAGAGATGGGGATAAGTCGTCCTCGACAAAAACGGCCGGCAACATAACCTCGACTCCGCATGTCGAGGTAGTAGAAAAATATAAGTGGCAGAAAGCTGCTTCTCAGTCGGCCAAAGAGCAATGCGGCCGCACTCTAGAAGAAGGGGATGAGCCAATGCCCCCTCCTTCATTTAACTTTCCATCTCCTCCATCTTTCTCGGACGGTATGTTGAACATTCGTACGCCTTTTACTTGGGTTTTTATGAACTTGTTTGATCACTCTAACACCCTTCCTTACCCTGCGCAGATATTGTCGAGGAGATGCACATGAAGTTGCTTGGCTAGTCGCTCACAGGAGCTGATCGGAAAACTATTAGGGAGGTCATGCAACAGGCCGTTCCTAAGGAGCAGTGGGATAAATTTCGTGGCATTAATGAGGGCTTCCTTGACCTAATGATCAACTGCAGCGCCGAGGTAGAGTCTCTTAACAGCACTTGGCTTATTTTTGCTTTCATACTTAGATTATTTTCTTAGTTTGCTTTTGCTGACTTGTTTCTGTCCGAATGCAGATCGTCCTCAGGCTTTGTGCCTTCTTGGATTGGAAGGATAAGGAGAATGATAAGATCAAGGCGGCTTGGGCCACCATTAACCGAATAAAAGACGAGAACACCAGCACCCTGGCCCTACAGAAGATCCATTACAAAACGACCGTTAAGGCTCACGAGAGCAGCTCGACAAAAGAGGACATCATCAAGATTGGCGATGCACTCCCACGAGAGCAGCTGGCTAGGAAAGCGCTTCAGCTAGAGCGGGACAAGGCGGTCGCAAACGCCTCTCAGTGGAAGGATGGCTTTGAAGCCTCCGAGAAACTGAAGAATGAGTTAACCTCGTCCCAGGAAGCTCTTCAGACGGCCCTAGATAAAGTAGACTCCCTCAAACTTGAGGTTGAGCGCTTGAAAAAGTCCATTGCGGACTTGTCCGAGCAGTTGAAGGCTCCTCTGCCGATTGACCCTTCAGAGGCCATCCGTATAGAGCACAAGGCCGAGGAAAAGCTGAAGAGTCCCTTCTACAAAGCCTTCTCCATGATGGTTGAGGAGGCCTATTACTAGGAGCGCTTTGCCAGGCTCCTCAACTACGTCTGCCTCAAGGATGAGACCGAGGCGGTCGGCAAGCCCCCTCCCGTGTTTGTTGAGACTTCCTCTGACTTTGAAGTCGAGGAAGATGATGATGGAGAGGAGTAGAAGCCGATCGGAAAGGAGAAGCCGGTCGAGGAGGTGCTTGCCGAAGCTGCGACCGGCAAGGAGAAGCCGGTCAAGGAGGAGCCTGCCAAAGATGGTGAGAAGCCGGCTGAATGAAGAGCTCAGGTCCTCTAGCTGTTGTTTTAAAGCTTTCTGTACTGTAATTTTATTTCCTTGTTTTTGAACAATCTCATCTCTGGCCGCGTGTTTTGAGCTGTCTTGTAATATACTCTCTTTTTATTTTTCCGTCTGTTTTGAACGACTATAATTTATGAAGCTTTCTTCTTTCATTCATACTTAACATTTTTGAGCAATTTTTCATGCCTTATTTTTCTTCTTTTGCGTACGAATGCTTTTTACTGAGGGTATGCCCCTTTATTCGGCATTTCGTCTGGTTCATACTCAAGAAGATTTGATTAACTTAGTAGATTTTATACCTTAAAGGGTATGACAACTAGTAAGTTAATAAAATCATAATAATGATTTCCCTTGGACTAAGTTAATGTCGAATCAATTTCAGTTAGACGACCGCTTTATTGGCTTGTGCTGAGCTGTCCTTTGATACTATCTCTTGGACACACTCATGAAATTTCAAGCATTATCTCAACTTGATTATTTCTAAGTGTTTATTGGGCTCGGACGCCTAGGTATGCGCTTGCCCTTTCGGTAAAAATACCTTAGACAACTTCTGGGTTACCTTATGTTTCATCCGTTCAACCGTTTTAGGGCCGAATGGAGTGTTTAACATCCTGACCTATATGGCCGAGTTGCCTGGCTAGGGGATGCCCTTGCTAGGCGTTTTACTCGGCCACTTGATCATGCCCCTTTTAGAGGACGAGCTGCTATATGGCAAGCAACTTCGTTTCCCTTTTTAGGCGGCATTTCTTTTTCATCTTTGCCCTTGTTAGGGGCCGAGCAGCTATGTTGCAAGCCACCCTTGTTTATGATTTTAGGGCGGCATTTCTGCTCATCAATAAGTAAACGTACAAAGTAAATGGCAAAAGTAACAATGTTTTACTTTTTCATTAATATCGTCAAAATTACATTGTTTTTGGCCGTACGACTTTAATTACATTGCTCGGCCGTTTAGACCTAGTTGTATATACAAATTTTGGCTAAGTACAAAAAATTTATACATAATATTTTTTGGATTGTGCGTATTTCTGTACGGGGAATAGGATGGCCAGCAAAGGCTTCAAGACAGTAGGTACCATCTTGGACTTCTTCTTTAATTCGGTAAGGCCCTTCCCAATTTGAGGTTAGTTTCCCATCCTCTTTAGCTCGACTTACCGCCTCCATCTTCCTTAAGACTAAGTCTCCAATCTTAAGCGGCCACTTGGACACTTTGCGATTATATGCCCTTGTCATCATTAGACGATAAATTTCGTGTCAAAGCGTCACATTGCCCCTAGCCTTTGGAAGGAAGTCTAGGGCGGTCTTCATGGCCTCCCAATTGGTCGATTCATCATATAGCATCACTCGTAGAGTGGGCTCATACATTTCAGTTGGGAGCACGACCTCAGCGCCGTAGGCAAGAGAGAATGCGATCTCCCCTGTTGAACTCTTTACCGTCGTTCGAATGGACCATAACACATTGACCAACTCATCAACCCATAGGCCACCTGCTTTTTTAAGCTTCCACTTGATGCCATTGGAGATTAATATGTTGTATGCTTCAACTTGGCTATTTTCCTTTGGGCGTCCCACTGAGGCAAAACAATGTGTTATGCCCTGGTCGCTCAGCCAATCCCTGAGTTGGTCGGTCTCAAATTGAGGTCCGTTATCGAACACCATTGACTGTGGAACACAAAGCATGTGATTATGTTCTTCTAGATGAAGGCGGATACATCTTTCCATTTAATTCCTCTGATGGCCTCGACCTCTACCCACTTCGTGAAGTAGTCATTTGCTACTAACACGTACCGCCTCTGTCTAGGTGCCGGTGTATACGGCCCCAAGATGTCCATGCCCCATTTTGCAAAGGGAAGTGGACTACTTATGGCCAACAGGCTGTTTGCCGGGCGGTGAATAAGGGTTGCAAAACTTTGACACTTGTCACATTTTTTACCATTTCCATGGCGTGCGAATTCATGCTCGCCCAGTAGTACCCCAGATGGGTAACCTTCTCTGCTAAGGACTGTCTGCCTATGTGTGATCCGCAAAGCCCCAGATGGAGGTCGTCCAGCGCTTCATGCCCCCCCTCAGGCATGACACATTTCAGATAGGGCTTTTCAAATGATCTTTTGAACAAATCCTCTCCCTTTATCTCAAACCATGTCGCTTTCTTCTTCATCAGCCAACTCTCCTTTGGGTCGTCCGAAAGAACTCCATCCTCTAGGTAGTAGATTATTCAGTCCATCCATGTGGAGCTTCTGTCAATGATTTGCACGGCCTCGACATCAATGCTCTTCTTTTCCTTAACTTCCTAGAGCACAGATCTCGGAGTATCACATGATGCTGAGAAGGCTAGCCTGGAGAGGGCGTCTGCCTGATGATTCTCGGACCGGGGGACTTGTTGCAGCCTGAAATGCTCCAGGCTCTCGGCCTCATCTTTCACCATCATTGTTGGTTCCCTAGCCTCGTAGTCACCATTCACTTGGCTGACTATCAACGGAGAGTCCGAATAGGCATCAATTTTTTTTGTCCCGGCCGCTTTACACATTCTGAGGCCAGCTAAAAGGGCTTCATACTCGGCCTCGTTGTTAGAGGCTTGGAACTGAATTCTCAAAGCATACTCATACTTGTCTTGTTCTAGAGATAGATATCTGATACCAGAGCCGCATCCGGTCGCCATTGCATTTCCATCCATAAAAACTTTCCAAATCTGATCCCCTACAGGCTGTTAGTCCGGCCGTGTGATTTTGGCTAAAAAGTCTGCAAAGGCGTGGCCCTTGATTGCTTTTCTGGGTTCGAATGTGATATCAAATCCTCTCAACTCTAAGGCCCATTTAAGAATTTGGCTGCTAGCCTCCAGTGTTGTGAATGTCTTCTTCAACTATTAGTCCGTGTAGACCACAATCGAATGAGCAAGAAAGTATTGCCTTAACTTCTTTGATGCCATGAACAATGCCAGGCCGAACTTTTAAATAGGTGGATACCTAAGCTCGACATTGTGCAGAACATGGCTGATGAAATACACAGGGATCTGATGGCCGTCCCTTTCAGTAAGCAGGACGACGCTCAAGGAATGATCTGAAATAGCCCAATACATATACAACTTCTTATCTTTAAGTGAACTGACTAGCCAAGGAATGTTATGAAAGTGATTCTTTAATTGTACGAAGGCTTCCTCGGCCTCCTCTGTCCACTCGAACATTGCTTTCTTCTTGATAGTCTGGAAAAAATAGCGACACTTATCCCCTGATCTTGACAGATTTCGTTCGAGTGCGGCTAAGGAGCCGGTCAATTTTTGGACTTCTTTTATGGTCCTGGGCGATTTCATATCTAAGACCGCTTAGATCTTTTCAAGGTTGGCCTCAATGCTGTGCTGATCAATTAAAAATCCGACAAATTTGCCGGACTCAACATCATAGACACACTTCTTTGGATTTAACATCATCATATGTCGCCTAAGTTCGGTAAATGTCTCTCGAAGGTCACTCAGATAGTCGGCCGAAAGTTTTGATTTAACAATCATATCATCAAGGTAAGCCTCCATGTTTCGGCCGATCTGATCTCCAAAGACCGTATTCACAAGTCTCAGAAACGTAGCAGGAGCGTTCTTCAGGCCGAATGGCGTAACGTTGTAGCAATATAGTCCTTGCTCGGTCACAAATGCTATTTTTTCTTAATCTTCCTCCCACAAAGAGATTTGGTGAAATCTGGAGTATGCGTCCATAAAGCTCATTAGAGCAAGCCCAGCCATTGAATCAACCAGACGGTCAATTTTAGGCAAGGGAAACCTATCTTTAGGGTTGCCTTATTGAGATTGGTGTAGTCTACACACATTCTCTAAGTTCCATTCGGCTTCTTGACAAGAACTACATTGGCTACCCAATCAGCGTCCAACAGCTTCTTAATCTCAGCTGTGGCCGCCTGATTCCTTTATTCTCCATGATTCCTCTTCTTCTGACGAACAAGTCTCACAGCCGGGTTCATAGCCAACTTATGAACTGCTAAGTTTGGGCTGATACCCGGCATCTCATGAACTTCAAATTCAAACACATCTCTTAATTCACTTAACAGATTCAACAAGTCATCTCCAAGCAAGCCCATGCCATAGTGCCCACTTCGACCGTCTGATCAGGCTGGTCTAGGTGAAGCGCTATGTCCGTATGATCGTCGGCCGGCTTTGGCCTCAACTCTTTTGGCCAGCCGACAGCCATTAGCTGCTATGCTTGCTTTTTCTTGATCAACTTACGCTTCTTGCCGACCTAGTATGTTTAGAGTGACCTTTCTTCGAAATTTTGCATAGACGCAGTCACATGTCCGAATGTTGTTGGCTTCACGGCTAGCTGATTACATTCTTTGTCCATGATTTCCGTTGTTGATGTCAAATTTGGGCGGGTGATGATAACATTGTAGCCAGTGAGCTCCTTAACAACTGGGAAGCGGATGACCATGTCCCTTCCTTGTCCCATCTGCCCAAATCGGATAGGTAAGTCTATCCGTCCGATCGGGTGAATAATACTCCCACCGAACCCAACCAACGTGTGAGAGATATCCTTCTGGTTGTCCTCTGGGAACTTCAGATTCTTCAAACATGCTAGACTGATAATGTCGGACGAGCTGCCAATGTCTATTAGCACTCGTCTGACCTTCAAATTGGCAACTTTCAAGATGAACACCATGGGGTCATTGTGAGGGGTCATGATTTTGCCTCGGTCTACCTTGCCAACCCCCACTTCTAGAAAGGGCTCGGCCTTTATCCCTTCAGTGTGCATCACATTTTCTAAATTCCAAGCATCCTGCTTGATTCCCTTCATGGTAGGACCGCCTGCATCAAAGCCGCTTGATATGACGGCCACAAATCCTGACTTTGTGTTGTTTCCATCATCATCTTTTCCTATCTTCTTCTCGGATTTTTCGTCTGTCCGAGAGTAGGTGAACTTGGAATTCATGACGTACGAGTTGAGCATGCCCTTCTCAACCAGTTTATCCAACAACATGTTCAAATTGTTGTAGTTGTTTGTGTCATTCCCCATAACCTAGTGGTAATGATAGTACTTGTTCTTGTTTTTGTATGGGCGGAACCTCTCAAAGGCTGAGGCTTCTCGAACTCGAATATGTCTTTGATTTCCATCAAAATTGAATAACAATTTTTGTTGTACTCGTACTAAGGCTCGTACTTCTTGGCTTCCTTTGACTTTGTTTGTTGGGTGTCGGCCACCTAGACTTCTTTTCTTTTGTTGCTTCCTTCCTTCTTTTTGCCGGTCGAGTCTTGCTGAGAAGATTGTTTCTTCTCGGCCCCCTTGGCCGGCTCTTCTGATTTTATAAGGGAACAAAAATCAGCAGCCTTAATATATGATTCGGCCTCCCGTAGAACACATACGTATGTCCGAATCTTTTTGCTGATCCAATCAAACTTGAAACCATTATGCCTTAAACCTCGAAGGAACTCAGAGTAGGCCATCTCACCTGGCAGATTCTGAATTTAAGCTTTCTCCAAGTTGAACCTCTAGATGTACGAGCGCAACCCCTCTTTCTTTCCTTGGACGATGGTTGCCAAGTTAAGACTAGTCTTCCAGGGTGGAATATTATAGGAGAAGTTTCCAACAAATAATAAGCTGAGAGTTGTGAAGGAAATTAATGCATTCGACCGACAGACTATTGAACCAGTCTTGAGCCACACCCTTGAGGGTGGCCGGGAAGCGTTTGCATGTGGCATCATCCACACTCTACAAGTACATCCGATTTCTATACGAGGTAACATGCTCTAACGAGTTGCCCGTACCATCATAGGCACCCACGAGTACGCTCTTTACTTTAGCTGGATTAGGAGAGTTGAGAATTTAATGAGAAAACGGAGGCTGCTTGTCACCAAGATTCAAAAAGCGTATTTGCCAATCAATGGGATAAGGTTGTGCGGTCCGTCCACCCAAGTATGATGCCTGGTCGTACGGCTGGCCATACTGCCCGTAGATAAGGGGGTAGGCGGTAGAATTACTCCACAATTCTGGGGCATCTGGAATTGAGGCGGTTGAATTACTGGAACTGGAGTTGGTGTACGGTGAACTTGACTCCTGCTTGTCCAGGCCGAGCTGGTATGCTTGGAGAGAGTATGGTTGGAGAATTCCATCCGGCGTGATAGGAGTGGAGGAAGTATGCTAGTAGTGTGCCTGCTCTTGCCGCTTGTGCCGGAGATAGTCTCTAGCATCCTTCCAGCGCTGGGACGGCTCGTTTGGCTGCCTCTGAGGCTGCTTAATCTGCCCCCCAGCCGACTGTGTTTTCTCAAGGAGCCTAGACCAGTTCATCCGGGGCACCCTTGGTGACCTTGCATGTCATTTTAATGGCCTGTTCCCAGCATCCTCGGTGTTGGCCGTCTTGCCCTGGGGTTTCTTTTTGACACCCTCTCCTTCTCTTCTGGACGATTGTCTAGATGATGAGGGTATCTTACCCTCAAGCCGCTTTTGGAGCTTTTCCAAGGCGGCCTTCAAGGAAGAAACTGTGACCAGGGGATCCTCCGCCTCATGGAATGAAGCGGTCAAAGGATCGCTAGAGTTGATTGTTGCAATGAGATTCTCTACATGTCCGTCCTGACCAAGATCGGGTGTCTGACCATCTTTAGCCGTTTCAGACGTGTATCCCCACAGATGACGCCAAATGTTTTGGGATTTTTTGGAATTCCTTGGGATACAAGTCTTGAACTCGGCCGAATGGACTCAGACACCTGAAAAACAATGAATATTAAGGTTGAC